AGCGGTTTTTGTGGTGATCAAACTCACGTGCATGTAAGAGCACACATATCATGTTTCCAAGAGCTATCCGTACTTATACGCCATTTTTCTTTAATTTCTTAACTCGTGCATTATTATTTTTTCTATTTTTAATCTCTTCCTCTGTCAAAGACTGATGACAATTCGGGAAACAAAGCATGGTAAGCAATTGGATATCAAGTAGATACCAGAGAGAAGTTGAAAAAACCTGGGGAAAGACCTCTCCAAAGGGGAATCATAGAAACTGCTGCACATCAGAATGACTCAACCCTTGTCCAGTATCTCATCCAAAGAGGCCTCCAGGTCATGGAAGATCCAGAAAACAACACCTGCAAGGTCAAATGTGATGTTGTGATTGTTGGATCCAGTTGCGGTGGAGGGTTGCAGCTTCAGTCCTTGCAAGCTCAGGCAAGAAAGTCATAGAGAAAGGGAACTATTTCGTGCCTGAAGATTACTCTTCACTTGAAGGGCCTTCCATGTCTGAGCTATACGAGTCTGGTGGATTTCAATCAGCTGTCGGCGGGGAAACTATGCTTTTGGCTGGATCAACAGTGGGTGGAGGTTCTGCTGCAAACTGGTCTGCATGCATAAAGACACCTGATTCTGTTCTTAGAGAATGGTCTGTTGATCACATGATTCCACTATATGGGAGCCATGAATATCAATATGCCATGGATGCAGTGTGCAAGAGGATTGGTGTTACAGAGCATTGCTCCGAGGAAGGATTTCAAAATCAAGTTCTTCGTAGAGGATGTGAGAAACTTGGTTTGAAAGTTGAATTTGTGCCAAGGAATGGTACGGATGATCATTATTGTGGTTCTTGCTGCTATGGGTGCGGAACAGTAGAGAAGAAAGGGACCCGATTCCACATGGCGATGCTGTGATTCTAACAGGAAGCAGAGCTGAGAAATTCATATGGGAGAACAAGAAGACCGATAGCAAAAGGAAATGCTTGGGAGTTGTAGCTAGAGCTTTGTAGCATTTTAGAAACTCTATCTATTGGACCATCCTCGTTTGCAGCGGTATGTCCATGGACTTCATGGCTGGACTTCATGGATAGGATGGTGAGGTATTCATGAACTGCCCACATCTTTGCAATGGTTAGAGATCAAGGTTCAAGAGAAGTGAAGAGGGAGGGTCACTGCACTTACCCAATTGATGGCCAAAGACTAGTCTGTGAAGGTATTAGCGAGAAGGATTTTATTAGCGAGAAGGATTTGGAAGAGTTCTTGGACACAATCACAATACCTGGAGGGCTGAGGTCTAGAGAAGAGAATTGGACCATATTATTTTCTGCACGTCAGATGGGCAGCTGTAGGATGGGTGCCACGGCGGAAGAAGGTGGAGTTAATCAAAATGGGGAAAGTTGCGAGGCAGAATACTAATTTGTATATGATAGAAGGGTACTGCCACTTGCAACTGGGGTCAATCCCATGATAACAATCCAAACCACAGCATACTGCATTTCCAAAAAGATTGCTGAATCTTTGAAAAAGCAACACTACACATTGCAAGACATTGTATAGTGAAGAAAACACAACCAGAAAGCCTTGTATTTCTTCTCCCTGTAATTTTGTTTGCTGGGGATTACTTGAATCGCTGCAAAACAGGCACTGGACTCGAACCTCAGCTTTGCAATGAAAAGGAGACATGTAACGGGGTTAAATTCATTTGGGAAACACTAATGAAAACAGTGTTGGAATGACACAGCGGGACAATATCAGAATCAGCAGCACTAATGTGATCAGCAGCATTGATAGAAGGATAGAATCGGCAATGTCGATAGAATCGGTAACAGGGATTGATGATAATTTTAGAAAATGGATAGTCCAAGACTTGACGAAAATACTGCTAGCACAAATAGAAACATGCATCGGCAGTGACAGCCTGCATGGACATTGACAGATTCGACAACAGTGCATGACTAATGATTCGACAGCATTGGCTTATTAGTATAATGGGCTAATGAGAGTGTTGGCCCAAGACATGCAAACACCTATTCTAGCAGTATGAGAGTTAGTACAAGGGACAGGTGACTTGTTGAGTGGTAGGCTAGGGACTAAGCAACAGTTAAGGGCAATTATTGGCAGTTTCCGACAATTTTTCAACAGGCAAAACTGACTAGACATGTTCCAAGTCTCCCGGGATAGTTTTTGTTAATCATCTTCCATGTTATTCCCCTTTTAATAGATTTAATACAAGCGTGTATCATGCAATATTCTGGAGGGGAGGGCACTTGTGCACAGCACATACACAAACAAACTTGGGTCTATCCTTTTGAGTGAATAAAAGGATGGGATTGATTCCTGTAATAATATACTGAAAAAGCGAGGGTAATTTTTTAAATTTATAGGACAAATTAGTTATAGACAAACACAGTAAATCGGTGAGTGAAAAAGTTAAGTCTAATGGGACGCTGCATGGGGGTTGAAAATTTCAGCAACAAAAAATTAACCCCGTGACAAGACATCCATGCCAATTGAGATGCAAGCTCATTAACAGCGAAGTTATATATTTCAAACAATTCATTATTAATGCGTAGAACATCCAAATAGAAAAGAGAACACACGTAGAACATCCATTTACAAGTCATCGAATGATATCTTCCTATGCTGGATTTTCAGAAAACACGTCCTACAAAAAGAAGGCTTGGAGCCAGTCCATTTCATGGCTTAAAACAATTAAAGTATGACCACAATTTCTTAACAAGAGTTCAATAATAGGGGTGAGTCAAAAAAAAAAAATTGGGGGGAACCTTTGCAATTGCTATATTATATTCAATTTTCAACATGTTAGATTCACCGAAGTTCTAAAAAATTGCGAGGAACATAAATTGGTTCCATGTCTTGATTCCTCAAGTAGCTGATGCTTTTACTGCTTTCTCTGCGGCATCATCCAAATCTTCTGCTGTGATTAGTGCCATTCCACTCTCCTGCATATATTAATGGACAACATGAATTACCATCACAGTTCAAATTGAGCATCCATACTAAAGACAAAAGAATGTACAAGATTGAATACTATAATCAAATTTTGCATTTACCTTCAGAATTCTCTTTCCTTGGTCAACATTGGTGCCTTCGAGACGTACAACAACTGGAACTTTTAGAGCAACCTTTTCAAGGAGGATTAAGAACGTCAATGCCTTCCCAAATCAAATGAAATATCTAACAATATTACTCAGAAATGCTACGAACATCTAGTTTTTTTTAGCAACTACGTTCTTCTTCTTCTTCTTTTGTGTGTGTGAAATGACCACTCCTACAATTTATTTGTCATAAACTCCACACATTAGTAATTGTGCTGATGCAGGGCAAAGAAGCTAGAATGAATACAGTGGTGATTGTTTTGATTAAAACCCGGATATAATTTGATGCAGATCTCACCTGTTTGGCAGCGTTGACAATTCCGCTTGCTATCACATCGCATTTCATTATTCCTCCAAATATATTCACCAAAATTGCCTTTACTTTGTCATCAGAAGTCAGTATCTTAAATGCCTCAACCACCTGCCTCATAAAATTGCTTTCTTAGAGAACTGGACTTGTGGATTATCCAATTCCATCAGCCAAAAAAAAAGAATGAGAACATGCATGTGTTATGACAACAGTGCAGACCCCCTCAGCCAAACTGGGCAGAAAGGCCAGTGGATGATTAAAGAAGTTAAAGCAAAACACTTCAAATAAATCATATTACCTGTTCTTCGGAAGCATTCCCACCCACATCAAGAAAATTTGCAGGAGTTCCCCCGTGCAGTTTAATAATATCCATTGTAGCCATTGCTAATCCTGCACCATTCACCATGCAACCAATTTCCCCATCTAAGCCAATATAATTTAGATCTGCCTTGGCAGCAGCCACCTATCAAAAGATCAAAAGGTACCACAAGATACAGCAATTAATAATTTATTTCATCATCCTTAGTTAAAAAAAGTTGATGCAAAAGCATTTGTGTGTGTCTCAGCACGTGTGACCATGTGTCTCAAAACATCTCAGCTCGAATACAGCATACTTAACATGCAACATAGGACCAAAACCTTTCATGATTTTCCACATAACCAGTGCTTAAGTTGCCCATGTAAGGAAAAAAACTAAACATAAACACACCTCTCTAGGATCTTCCTGTGTTGGATCTCTGAGAGCAAATATCTCCTTTTGACGAAAAGCAGCATTATCATCAAAATTCAATTTAGCATCAGCAGCTACCAATTGCTTATCAGAAGTCTCTGCTATGGGATTGATCTGAGCAGAGAGGAAAGGAGTTCACAATCAGATATGCATATGGACAAAGGAAATGCTAAACTAGCATGCCTGAGCAATGGAAAAGAAATAAACACATCATTAACAGTAATTGAATGCAGGAATTTGTGCTCACTTCCAACAATGTGCAGTCACTTTCACAAAAGAGTTTATATAATTTCTTCACTTGCTCAATCGAATCATTTCTATCAGCAACCTTTGGAGCCAGGCCATCTACAACTTTTACAGCATCTTCATCAGTAATTCCTTTAAATACATCAATGGGTACCTGTCAGAATGCAGAAACAACAATGGATCAGTTAAATAACAATTAGGCAACGAGCAAGAGACTGCACAGATTGCCCCATGCTAAAACATTAGAAGAAAAAAGGATGACAAACCTTAATAATCAAGTCAGGAAATTTCTCAGCAAGGTCTTCAATGCTGGTTCCCCCCTTTTTACAAGCTATGATAAGCTGAAAAACAAGATGTGTGCATCTTTCTTTGATTCAGAACAGTTTTTTGCGAGTAATTATATGAAAGACAAATTTACTGAAACTGACTACAATGTAAAGTTGATAAGCCAAAGAAGCAAAAATAACAATATCAGTGGGTGAAACATACTGGACCAGCAGTTGTCCGATCTAGCATGATAGCAAAGTACATCTCATTGACCAGTGATAACTTTTCACACAAGTAAACCTGCAAAAGGAAAGGAAATTAACTGAACCTCAAACCCATCCCCAAGACAATCATCATCCTTATGCAAGGAAAATAAAAGGAAATATTGCTGGATGAAAATAACTATTCAGTAAGAATTTGCTCTGAGCCAACAAGAAATGGAAGGCTAACCAACTAAAACCTTATAGCCGGATTCATTATTTTCACTGTTATAATAAACAATGTGAGTCTAAGAATTATAGCTCCTGGTTCATAATCACTTCATCCATGTCTAAAAACAGATGGAGAGATCCTATACGAGTCAACTCTCATAAGATAGTGAAACATGACTTGTAACAGTTAATTTGACATGAACAAAAGATAGAAATATGTACACTGGTGTACATCTAAAACATGACACATCCATCAAGGTAAATTTTTGAAAAATGCACATGGGCAAGATAAATAACAAACATTAAATGTGAGATGCTCAAGAAATGGAGTTGAAAGACAATAGTAAAAGTAATACCATGAACATGATTCCTCTGTTAAGTGGAATTCATCTTATGATGGGACCTTCTCAAAACAAGCATCCAAATATTTCATGCAACTTTATCATTAAATATGAGCATTGAAAAAAAAATTTACTCTGCATCCCCTAGTTTAACTATAAAAAAACTAAGGCTATGTTTGTTTCTCGAAAAGTGGTTTCCGAGAAATCACTTTCCTAACTTTCTTGTATTTGTTTGACGTTAAAAAAGTTGGTAAAGGGAAAACACTTTTTAGTCAAAGAAAGATTTGGTTTGATTTCCAGAAAAGTGTTTTCCTGGAAAATTTAGGCGGAAAACAATTTCCAAAAGTTGTGAAAAATTTAAAAATATCATATTATTTGCTGATTATATCAAATTTGATCCTCAAACTTTTGATTGCTCTATTTATTTTGTTTTGAATATTTATTTTTCAATTTTATCTCTTAAAATTTAATTTTTATATTAACTTTGGTTCTCATTTTTATAATTGTCATTTGTTTTTTTCTTATTATTTTTTATTGACATTTTTTATCTATCAAATTTGACCCTCATTCTTTTGATTGTTACTTATTTTATTTGAAATAATTTATGAAATGTTAATTATTATTATTTTAATTTCATCTTTTATTTTTTTAGATTTTTTAGATTTGATCTCTATTATTTTGATTATTATTTATTTTATTTGAGATAATTTATGAAATTATATTTTTTTCAATTTTATTCTCATTCAACTTTTTAATTTGTAAGATTTGTTCCTCGTTATTTTAATAAACTTGAGAAAAATAAAACATTAATAAGTTATTTTCTAGCTCATTTTCCATGACATAACCAAACACTGGAAAGTGTTTTCCAACTTATTTTTCATTATACTGCCAAACATCAGAAAATAATTCACTTTCTCGGAATTTACTTTCCAAATGAAAATTACTTTCCAGCAAATAAACGAGGCCTAAAGTGATTCTTCATTCAAAGCATTGATGAGTCTTTAATTGGCTTCTTTGTAAAATCATAAGATACACAAATCATGTTTTATAAGCCACTAACAGGCAATTGAGATGCCATGAAAACAGCTACCCGTGCACCAATTGATCAAAGACTGGATGCAACAAAAAGTTAACATGTAAAAATAGACCATCAATGCCAAACCTTGCTAACAATTTTGCCTTGAGAACCAGTTTGTTTAGTAACAAGGATCTGGCCAAGCATCTTTCCTGCATGCA